TAAGAAGCCTAACATGAATCTTTTCATTTGTTTGCATTTATCTCAGTAAAGTGTAACTTTACAGAACTGATAGGAGAAAATTTGATTGGAGCTGGCATGACTGCAACTATCCAATTATAGCTTAGTTAAAATTATTCACTGCAATTTAATGGAGACCAGTCAAAAAAGACATAATACAATAAGAAACAAAATTTGCACAATTTATTTTTCTCCTCAAATCAGTGGTTGTCCTTAAATTTAAACAATCTGTAACCAAAATATTCAACAGATCCCATGTGTCAGTTTACTTACTGAAACAGCTACATTGTTCACAAGCGGGTGAACAATGGTGATGTCTATGGAAAGACCATTTGGGATGGAATAAGGCTGAAAATGTTGACATATTTAGGTTCAGTTTGTTGAGAAAAGTTGTTTTTCTTTCAACTGCTTCTTTCTGCAGTCCTTTTTTTTTCATGGTAGATTCCCCTCCTGACACAGCCTGGACTCAAACCTGCAGCCTCAGGATTAAAAGACTGGCTGCAGTAGACTGGTGGTCAGTGCCGCAAAGTTTTGCAAAAAGGTTCAAGGTGACTTTATTGTCATTCACATCACATGTGGTACATGAGGTGAAACGACATTGTACTCAAGGTCCCAGTTATACCCAAAAAAGCAATAATATAATCTATAAAAAAGAAACGGTATACAATGATCTAAGATATACACTAAACAATAATAATGTAATATAATATAGTGAATTAAACAGCAGCCTGAACATGAGTCTGTTGTGAGCAGATGGGTATGAAAACAGCATCTTATGGGTAAGAATCAGCAGCACAGGTAAAGTGACATGTCACCAATCAAAGTGTCATTACAGTGATTTTTCTGGTTAGATATTCATGAGTCTAACAGCCTCAGGGTAGAAGCTGTTCCTCAGTCTAGTGGTTCTACACTTAATGCTCCACAACCTCCTGTCTGAATGGAGCGGGGCAAAAAGTGAGGGTGCTGGGTGAGTGGGGTCCTTCATGGTGCAGGTGGCCCTCTTCCTGAGAAGAGATTGTTTAAAAAGGCTTTTTATTTTGTAAAGGTTGCAAACTCCTGGGCTAAATAATTAAATGGAGCTTCTTCTTACGAATATGAAAGTAAATAAGAGTGATTTTGTATGTAGAGCCGTTTCAGTACCTGCTTTGGTTCAACAGTCATCCTGTGCCAGTAAACTGTTAAACTGTGGTCAAATATTTTCACTTTTACATTTAAAATGTCAGATTTTTTTCCTGTCAGCCCATTATTACAGTTAAAGTTGTCTAAAATCATACAGTGTAGCTTTGGTAGCTTCTACTGCAACACATCTTTTTTAATAATCTTAATTTTAAATGTATGTTAACAGTTTCCTAGTAAAATAAACAAATTCTGTTTATTTCTGCTATTTTTTTGTAGTTTAACATAATGTCATTAATATTATGTGTATTTTTAGTTTAAGTAATAAATCACCTCACTTTGTTTTGCCTCATATTTGTGTTTCATATTTAATATTGCCCTCATCACATATTTTCCCACATTCATGTTAATATTATTGTTTGTGTAACTTATTTGTTTTGCCATGACTGTCATATTGTTATCAAGCTGAGGCGTCCTGTGTCTTCACTGGTATTGTTTCTAACGTGTGTTTTATCCTGCTGTGTGTGTGTGTGTGTGTGTGTGTGTGTGTGTGTGTGTGTGTGTGT